ATCTTGCAAGATCTTGCAAGATAACCTCCATCTTGCAAGATCTTGCAAGATAACCCTCTTTTGCAAGAATCTTGCAAGATCTTGCAAGATAACCTCCCTTGATCGACTAGGGTTGGAGGGTTGCGAACAAAAACAAATCAAGGGTTGCACTCTTCAATTGAAGAGGGGAATTAAATCGCAGTGGAAAAACAAAAAAACAGAACGAGTTAATCAAAAGAAAAAATGCTCGTCAGCAGAAAAAGAACAATAACCAACATAATCTTTTCTTGAGATAAATCCTTCATTAAGATTTTTGTAGATTTGATTGGAGTACAATAAAAATGAAAAACCTGCACAAACTCAGAGATTTGTATATACTGAGTGATGCAGCGTTCCAAAACTTTTCGCTAGGTCAAAAATTAAAAGAAGACAAAATTTTTTCAAAAAATCGAATTTATGGTAGTATTGAAAACAAAAACATAAACAGATTTTTTTTCATTTGTCTCGTACTTTATGGACAAGAAATGAAGAATTTTTCAAAGATAAAACTCGACAAGCAGCACGGTTTTTGTTGTTGTTTTTAGAAAAAAAAACAAATAAAAAAATAAATGAAGAAAAATTATTTGTGTACTTAACACTCGAAGACTTATTTATTTATTGTTCCTTCCATTGAAATGGGCAGGAACTTTGTATTCATGTGTTTTAGTTTATCTAATGTTTTTTTTCTGTTTGTTTTCCACGCAAAATTAGGTGCCACAAACAATCATTGTTATGGGCTGAGTGATATATCATATTAAAGCCCTTTCATTCGTTATTCGAATCAGATTTTAAACTTATTGCAAAATTTTGCAGTGTCGAGAAAACCGGTTTAAATTTTTTGACTTTTGGCTTATTTCGAGCGAATAAGTCGTGCAAGCAGTCTCATTTTAATTGCTTAATTCTTGTTTAATTCGAGTCTTTTATCGTCTTTTTGAAATCGAAATTATTAAAAATCGAAAAAAAACTGGAAACAATTGAAAATTTTGGAAAATTTCTTTCTGATTTTTTTTCAAGTCATTTTTCTCAAAAAAATGTTTTTCATTCTGCTTTTTTAGTCTGGTTGTCTCCAGTTTTTGTTTTAGCTCCTCTGATCACACCAAGCCGAAAAAGGACCATAACTTGAAAAAATGTTTGTGTTTTTCTTAAGACTATTTTCGGAACATTGTGTGCTACCTGCACAGTAACCGGCTATCCTTGTTTATTTTGGCGTTTATTCTAATCCCAGGTTTCTTATTTCAAGCTAGAATAGTATCTCCGAGGACCATTATTTTTGCTGAACAGAGGAAGTTTTTTGTTAATTTCATTATTGAGAATACCTAAAAGCATGGCTTAAAAGTCAATAAAAGCGGGTGTAAATGAAACCAAAAAAATGCCTGCTTTTATCTTTTTCAATTGCTATCAGGCTCTTTGTTTTGTTTGACAAGTTTTTGAAAAGGTAATGAGAAAAATTGACAAAATTTTCAGATGTTTTGAAAATCAAATTTCAGAGGTTGACTTCCAGTATCTCGGACGGCAATGCAAAAACTTACGACGCTAGTTTTTCATTCGAGACACTTCTGTGAACTCATTTTTTTGCATGGCTGAAAACTAAGTTGAAACACGTTCACAGCAAGGAAAACATGTTGAACTGTAGCCTTGGAAAGTTTTTATTGTTGAAAACAAATCAGAAATCACAATTTGGTGTTGAAATGATTAAAAGTGAAAATGTAGAGAGAAGAGAGAAAAAAAAATACTATAATGTTGCATCAATTTTGCAGTTACAAAACTGATTGTGGATGAAACAAGTGTACATTATTATTAAATACGTGGATAAAAAAATGTTTCATCAGTTACTGAAAACATAAGATTCTCCTTAAGAAGTAGGGGGGAAGTGGGTGTTGGTAAAGTCTACCCTTTATATGTATTAGAATTTTTTCTCTAGTGAGATTTTACAATTGATTTATTGATTTGTTTGCAGTGAACAGGTTTTCTTCATGGAGATGAATTTTTGAAGTACCAACCTAAAATTTTATTGATGTAAAAAGGAATGACCTATGAAGAAAATCGGTTTTACACAATCCTGACAGGAGAATTGAGCTGGTGCGATGATTAAAGCGGAAATTAGAATTCGGAAACTGCCGGAAATTAAAGGCTCTAATTTTGTTTTTGGCTTAACTTTTGATCTGTATTTGATATATCTAGCAGCAGTGGGAATTGTTTGTTTTTCCCTCACATTTATGACAGAATCTCTTCTGTTAATTTTCATGACAATTCGTATGCCCCATTTTGTTTGCTTTCCCAGCTTGTCTAGATTTTCTTCAGTGCAACCATTCAAAAGCATGCATGGATAGTGTAAATGGCTTAATACAATGGTATTGAGTGAAAGGATTCTGGTTCGTAGAGGAATTTCATCTCTTATGCATTTGATTGTTTGGAATGCACTAGCCATCTTCTGTAACACTTTGTTAACTTCTTTTCTAAAAATAAAACATGCATATATGTTAGCACCCAGAAACTTGATGGGTTGAGATATTTTGACTTAGTAACTTATTACTTACAGCTTGCAGTTTTCTATAAGTATCTTTTGTGATGGAGCAGAGAAAATGATGGACTGAGTTTTGTCTACATTTATCATTATTTGGTTTAAAAAAAATATGAGAGTATTTTGTTGAAACTGGATTCATTGATATTTGTTGCAGATATCGGATTTGAATGGAGAGTTAGCAGTGTTGTATCGTCGGCATACTGTACAAGTGTACATGACTTGGTTAGAATTTCTGGAATATCTTTAACATCATTAAGTCAAACAGCAGAGGTCCTGGTAGAGTACCCTTAATTGCACCTTGCTCCAACTTAAACCAATCTGAATACGCACCATTCACAATTGTTTGCTGCTGTCTGTTTTATAGAAAAAAATTTACTAAATCGAAGGCTGATGGTTCAAAACCAAGATTCCTCAATTTTTGTTCGAGGACGGGATGTGAAAGTGAATCAAACGCTTTCGAGATATCTTAAAAGGCCGCTGCTGATAAATTATGTTCATCAAAATGGAACCTGAATTTTTCTTTTGTGTATAGAAGATCATCATTGGTCGAATAACCATGCCTGGAACCAAATTTTTTGCGATTTAGGATGTTATTATCCAAAAAACTTGATTTTTTGAGCTGATAAAATTTTTTCAAATATATTACAGACAACTGTTGTTATGGAAATTGACCGATAATTGATTGGATTGGCTGTATCTCGTTTTTGAATACATACGGAAATAAGATATGGTTGTTTTAAGATTTCAGGAAATTTAATTTTCGAGATACATTCTTTTATTGACATAGTTTAATTACGGTTGATTATGTGCACACTGTCGTTCAAAGCACAAACAGGTATTTTATTGGGTCCTCAAGACTTATAGGTTGGAAGCAAAAAAACATTGCTTCAAACATATTTTTGTGAGTGACTTATCTGAACTAAAAATTTTGGTATCGGATCTCACAGCAGTAGTTTTTATGGTGTTAAGCAATGAGTATATTTTAGCAAATGATGTTTTTCCTCGTAAGATTAGCTTTTTTTCAGATATTTGTAGTCTTTCCTGCCCCTTATTTAATATGAGCGTGAAAATTATGGTGTAACGAGCGTTTTTACGAGGTTTTATCTGACGCTCAATTATGTTTGTCATGTTTTTGACCATCTGCATGTCAGTTTGGAATCGGGCAAGATGAATAATTTTTTTTACTTTCGCAGGCTGGGGCAAAAAGGAAAAAGAGCCCTGTGTGCTATTATGCTACTATCACAGCAACCGGCTACACTGGTTTAGCTATTTACTTTCATCAAGAAAAAAAGATGCTGTCACGTCTCTTGAGATTTAAAAATTGAAAACTTTCAAATCATGGATTTTCATTTTTGTTAATTTAATTTTACCAATTTTTTTTCTACATCAATTTTTTCATGTTTAAAGTTATTTGGATATAACAATTTGTATGAGTATCAAATGAATCTAAATTGCGTCCCCGCGCATCTTAAATTTGTTTCCTGTGTTGATTATCAATATTGAGATTGCTGAGTGGAAGGCAAAAAAGGTGACCTCCGCGAAAACAAAAAATCAAAAGACGAGGAAAACGGACCAAGAGGCAAAAACATTTTCAACAGCAATTCTTTTATGTCAAATTTAAGTGAAATTAGGCGTAAAAGCAGGCGCGGTTCTAGAAATTTCTTGAGGTGGGGGGGGGGGCGGATTTTCAAAAAAATTTGAAAATTTTGTCGACCTTTTTTTAGGTCGACCAATTTGATTTTCTGAGCTCTCACAAATCACTATAAAGACCCTTCTTTGACGAAATTTTGTGCGCCGCACGCGAATTTTAACAGGCCAAAAAACGGCGTTTTTGGGCACTTTTTGGAAAGTTTCGGCCAAAAAATCGCTCCCCCTAAAAATTAGTATAGATTGGCGCCAACGGCGACTTTACAAAAATTTAAGGTCTGTCAGCCAAAAATGGATATCTCAAAATAGTACAAAGGGGGACTTTTTGGTTCGGCACAGTTCGAAGTCCTAAGGAAAATGCGTCCGCAGTTCGAAGTCCTAAGGAAAATGCGTCCTAAGAAGTCCTACAGTTCGAAGTCCTAAGGAAAATGCGTCCTAAGGAAAAGACTGTTAATATCAGGGCGAAGCACTGAACAATTCGACTGCCCGGAGAACCAAATCGGCGCCATTTATTCAATCTTCACGCGTACATAAGTTATTCCAGATAATGGAAAACACGTTGTTTTCAAATTTACTAAAAAGATCGCAGGCACACCACTATATTTAACAGTTGAATTCGGCGATTATCTGCAATTGGGTGTAAACCGAGGCAGCTAAAAATATAGTTTCGATCGCCGAAATTCTTCTGTAAAACAACCTCAAGCATGTATGTCCCGATCCTTTCTTCGAGGGTCGGAACAATCATAATGTCAAATTTAAAGCTAGAACGTACGCGACGAAACACGACTAAAAAGAAAATATACTTGGCTTACACGTTTTACTAACGTTTTTTCAATGTCATTCAATACAATAAATGCAAACAAATATGCCTTCAAAATAAATAATAAATCAAAACAGTATACAAGTGATCACGAGTCCCCATTCACCTTGTATGCCAGAGGTGTTTTAAGAGGGTCTTTGTCGAGTGACTGGTCTTCATATGAGTGAACGAATTCAGCCGAGTTGTCTAGTTGCTCGCTCGTCCCTCGTTTTTCCAACCGACTGTGTCGAATTCCATACGAGAAGTAGATCACAAAACCTGTTTTGACAAAACAGTGAATTACGAATGACAAAAATATCAATTAAATTATAATGATCATCTATTTACCTATCTTGCTAAATTTTTGTTCTTTCTTAAAATTTGTAGAGGTGACTGATTAATTGATCTCTTAGACAACCCGGACCCGGGTTGGCCTCAATAGACTGAATATTCTTATCAAATTTTTCCATGCAAGAAGCCTGTCGAAAATTACAGTTTCGGCATTTAATAACTTTTTTTTGGCTAGAATTAGGTCCATAGAGAATACCGGATTGTTAAAAGTGCAGTTTTTCAATCACAAATTTTTCAAAAAGTTCAGCTTTGGAGTTACACCAAGACAAATATACGGCCTTTAGGCTTGTTAAATTTCGAGACATTTTTTGTATTGAATTTTTTTTGATAACACAACCTGGAAAACTGAATCAATGAGGTTTTTTTTTATTCCGCTTTGAGATCTCAAAGGTAAGTTTTTTTCAGTTTTCATTTTTTGTAATGATTAGTACACTTTTGCTGTTCAATAATGGCGTTTGCACTCCTTATATCAAAGAGAAAGAAGCGAACTTAGAAACAAATCAAAAGTCATACTGTGAACAGTCAAACTTGAGCGTGAAGACATTTTAAGACTTTTTCCGATTAAAAAAAAACGTAAATCAATATGACCCATATAGGAGCCTTCGATGCGTTAGTTGACTCCTAAAAACTTAACACTAAACTCAAAACTATTAAATTGAAGCATTATAAGTAAAAGTACAATCATTTTTGAAGTTTTTCGAAAAAATATATTCATACAGTCTACTTTTTAAAAAATTGTACAATAAAGTTAATACTAAAAAATGATTATTTTGACTTTTTCATTATTTTGACTTTTTCAAGTTTTTCAAGAGATTATTTTGACTTTTTCATGTTTTTCAAGTTTGGCCTTTTGTATAAAACGTAAGAAAATCTTAAAAACAGAATCTTGCTTTTGAAACTACAATTCAATTACAATTTTTAGGCGCCATATGCTTTTTTGTAATAGAAGAGCTTATTTGCCTGTTTTTTAGCTGTTGAATGTCAAAATGCAAGCAGAAAAAAAAACTTTTTGAAGGTAAAGATTTTTTAAAAATCCTCTCTGAGAAAACTAAAAGTCGTCGACACGACCTATTAATGACTTCGCTGCATTCATTGAGACTTACAAATTTTTTCAGTATTCACGAAAAAAATATGTCATCTCGGAAATCTTTGAATTTCAAGAATATGACTTATTTGACACTTTTTTCACGAAACCAGCTCAGCTCCGTTTGAAAAATCTGATTCAATATGAATACTTTGTTCTCCGTTGAGTTGCAAATTAAAATCCGCGTTCGATGACATTTTTTTTCTCTTTTTTTTCGCCAAAATGTACATTGCTGCTATTGGAGAGCTTTGTTTTAGTGCAAATAAATTTTTGTTTTTTTT